TTACTATAATATAAATTTTGGAACTGTTAGACGTATTTTCATTCAAAAAAAAAAAAAAAAAAAATAAAGTTGAAACTGCTTCACTGTTTCAATTGTTTTAATGGGTAATAAATTTGCTGATTTACAGTTATTGCCATCGAACTGTAACTTTTTTTTTTGAATTTTCTTAAAAAGACTAAACTTATTAACTATTGCTGAATGTTAGCTAAAGAAAAAGTTTATTGTTGTAATTGTCGTAATTACAATTACAACATTTACATTTATGGAAAGTATTTGGTAAATTCTTTTATGCTTATTGCTTGGCATGTACATAATTAATTCTAACCTCCACTGAAACAACACTACTGCTAATTGTTGAAAGAAAAAAATATAAAAAAATTACAACATTTCCATTAGCAAAAAAAAATTACTGATGTGATGAATAGTTCTTTACTTAAACAAAAACTGATGATATTTTAAGGTGATGTTTAAACAGTAAAAAATAGCTTCTTTTTTTTTTTTTCTTTGTTTTTCAAGTAAATAATTCTGAACTGTTGTTTAACAAAATTTTCTGCAAACGCACAGTGGTAATTTGAAAAAAAAGTAAACTGAGAAATTAGGTGTTTACTGTGTCATAAAAGTTGGTAAAAAGAAAAACAAAAAGACAAGTAAGAACAAAAATGCGAGTCTTTGTACACGTTTAAACAAACTTTGGTTGCGGTTTATTATTTTTAGTTTTTTTTTTTTTATCGTCATCTTCTTCTTGTTTCTAATGGAAACCTATAGCTCTGTCATTCGAATTTCTACTGCTTTCAATAAACTTCACTATGTTTGTTACTTCATCTATCATATGAACATTATTTATTTCCGTTTTTTAAACAAATATAAGCCGTAATTAACTTTGATGAACGGATATCATTCTTTATCGCTTACCAGTTTGTTCTGTTTTAAATTTTTCTGTCATTTATCACTGAATTTGCTATTCTTACACGCTATAAACATGTCAATCTTGGAGCTCTAAATTTCCACCTACTATTTTCTGCTAAAAATTTACCGACATTATGAGAATAATAAAGAATGAATCTTTTTGCTTTGCTTATTTTTTTTTCGACTTTTTAAAAATATACTGCGTTGGACGTTACATCAAATAAACTTATTCTGGGATAGATTGTGAAGTTCTCACTTGGTTAAGCTTTCTATTATGTGTTTACTTTTTATTTTCAACATTTTCCATTATTGTTTCTCACGTCTCTAATTCTTTGTTGAAAGTATTCCGTCAATATTTTTCACATCGTCAATAAAAAACTGTTTGTTTGGCAACAATGAACCCGAAGAATTTTTGCGTGGTGGTGTGGTGGCGGCGATCGTTATGTTGATGATTCAGTTGGGAGTAATTAAGAATACAAATAGAACTAAGAAAAAAGAAGACGACAGTTCTCTGTGAGAGAAGGCTTCTGCTTTGCAGCCTAGGTTTTCGCTGAAAGCTTTTTCGACTCACAGATGCCACTGAGGCTGCATCTTCCTTTAATTCGTTTGTTATCAATCGTTTTTCTTGTGGTTCAAAACTTTGATACCTCACGTACTTCTGTAATCTGCCCTGAAGAATGCTACAGGGAAAGTCGAGTTAAAGCTTATTTGAAAGCTCAGGTAACTGTGAAATTTGTTTACTTCTACAAACACTAAATAACTTGACTACTTTGTTTTTAAGATTTTCTGTATTTCACAAGATCAGTAAATGTGGGGTCAGTTTAGAAAGAGTACGAAAGATTTATTGTTTTCTCCTTCAATCTCGGAGACTTCAAATCTAACCGTTGTTATTCAATGCTCCATTAACAAATCACCAACAACTAGTTGTTTGCTGCCTATAACAACCGGACATTTGACTAAACATTAATATATGTACAGTTTGTTAAGTTAACTGAATTGGTGGAATGAGACTTTTAACGCTTGTAGTTCTCCCGCTTTTTTTATTTGGAAACAATTTAAATTACTCGTTTAGTTCCTATTAGTTCTTAAGGTCAAAGACTGTCAAAAAAGACTTTAAGTTTTTGTATTTCTTTTCCAATTTATCTAAAATCTTAAGGTAAGTCAAAAGTAGTAAATGTAATGCTGAAAAAAAAGTTATAAATGTTGGTGTTGAATTACAGGAAAAACTTTGGTTTAAAAGGGGAACAACGATCATAAACTGTAAAAGTTTTGAATTTTAGATCTACTAATAAAAATGAGTGGAGTTCTAGGGGGAATTTCTTCAAGGAGAATGCCCATGCGTTAAACCGGCCGGAAGTGATAGTTGCTTGTCATATGATAGTCGTTTACAAGCTACCACTATTGAAGAAGCACTATACGAGTTCCCAGATTTTGTTAACTATGCTACTGGTAACAAACCACTGGTTGAAAAGGAGCCTACACCACCACTTCTAGGCAGTAGTGGTAGAGGTCGAATTGGGGCAGCAAAAGCGTCTGTAAATGTTACACGCAGTTTCCAATCAAATTTACACATTCTTCTTTACAACAACAATATCATACGATAAAGATTTCTGAAAATACTTATTTTCATAACGAATGTCTGAAAAAAAATTTGTAATCAGTTTTAGTTATTTTAATTTTTGTTTTTTCACTGCAAAAACATCTAGTGAATTTTGAAGAAGTTAACATATACGGAAAATAACAACTGCTTATCGGTTTTAAGGCTTCGCGAAAGACAGAAGGCTACGGCTGCTACAGCATTGAGTGTCAGTCGTGTAAGGCAATGGTAATAAACAGTTTTGTAGAAAATGCTGGAGTAAATATTACAACACCAAAGCCAAGGATAAATTCGAGTTATTGCGAGCAGAAACGGAGCTATGAACTTGGCCTTGCAAAAACATCTAATGTAAGCATAGGTTGTATTACTCAGATTAGCACTAGCCTGCTAAAATCGCAAATTTTTGCTTTAGCCAGTTTGATTATATGATGTTCAAATATTCGCCGCCTGAATGGAGCATTGAAGGAGAAAGATCCGTTAAAATTTTGTCTGAATATTGATAATAAAACCTTCATTCCTTCATAATTTTTTTCCCATTTTATAGTCGCTGAAAATTTTAGGACGTTTTCTTTGCAACTTTTTTCATGGATCAGATGAGTATCTTGATTTAAATTTATTTATTTTGATGTCTTATCTCACTCCTTAATCTAACTTATAAACATCAAATAGGTATCATGTAGCTCTTCTTAAATCACATTTAAGAATACAAGTGCTTGATTGCAGTAAATTTTTTAAGGCCGTAATCGTAAACACAACAGAACCATCTCCGATTGTCAGCAAAATTGTGGACCTTTTGGAGCCAAAAAAACGAAAAAAGCGCGAAGAATCCAAAAGCGATGCAAGTGATGTCAAATGTAGGTTTTCTGTAACTGTTGCGTCCGATGGCTGAAGTTAGTAATTTCGAAGAGAGATGGTGGCAAAAACTGTTATTTATTATTTTTATTCTCAGAATATGCAGAACAATGTGCAGTGTAAAGAGTTATTATTTTTCTCGCCAATTTCTTTTCTGAAGTTTCTGCTGTTTTTTACATTTTTTTAGTTAATAACAGCGCAAATATTTGGCAGTCCAAAATGTATAAACTGAAAGTCGGTACGATTGTTTAAAAGCAAGAATGAGACAAGTTTAGATAGCCATAAGAATTTAACTTAAAATAAAAATCCTTTTCGATGCCAAAAAAAAAAAAAAAA